AGATTATAATGGGAGAAACATGGGTAAATGGGTAATACAGTCTCACGAGCAAAATAATCGGGAAAGATATAAACGAGATTTTGGTTAATTTTTTTTGACAATGTTTCTATACTAGACAAACAAATAAAATAAAAACTAAAAACGAAACGTTAGTCGTGTTTCAACAATCACAAAGTGCAAGCTGTAACCACCATTAATATTGAAAGCAACATTAGCCCTATATACTATATACAGTAGCCCGCAATTTCAATTACAAGACAAATGATACAATTATATTAGAGAATGAGACAATTATAGAATGATACATTCATATTAATCAAGAGCTTTTCTTGTCATAAACGAAGCTTATAGAAGCAGGATAACGCGCGCGACTCGTTAGATCCATTTGACGTATGGTCTGATAAACCAGTGCATACTGGTGATTACCAGTCAGCTTATTACACCGCTAGACTCGATTGTTGTTTTCATGAAGATCTCCCGTTCAAGCTGCAGCCAAACTGGGATAGGTTAGTCATACACGAGACAGTATGTCGACAATGCTAATAATTAAATATTTGAAAATGCTACAAAAAATTCTAATGAAATATATCAATAAAATTAATAAATTGATGGATGGATGGATGAATGAATGAATAGATGGATGGCTAGATGAATGAATGAATGAATAAAAGACTAACTAAATAAATAAACAAACAAATGTACACACACGCACGCACGCGCGTCCATATAATATGTGCAACCATGCAGTATGTAAATAATGCTATATGTATCTTTTTAGCGAGATCTCCTACCGGAGTACCCTACCTACACGTGAAACCTCATATACGTTTGCTCGTTTTTTTTTCGATTAGGGAGCGTCTTCCAGCATTACAGAGTTAGAAACAGAACCTGATGAAGACGTCATATACCATAAGACACCATAGATACCATAAGTCGGCATTAGTTACACTATAGCGTACACCGCGGACTCTATATCTTATGCAAATGACATTGAGTGGTAAGATGGTATATAACACTCGTATAACACACACACACACACACACACACACACACACACACACACACACACACACACACACACAACAACATACACGCACCACACACACACACACACACCACACACACACACACACACACCACACACGCGCGCACACACGCACACAACACACACACAACACAACACACCACGGCACACCACACGCACACGACGCAACACACGTACACACAGCACACACGCACACACGCACACACCACACACGCACACACACACGCACACGACGCACACCACACGCACACGCACACCACACACACACACACACACACACACACACACACACACACACACACATACATACACGCACACGCGCGCGCGCACATAATGATAATGAGATATGAATCTCTGAAAAAACGTTTTAGAAACCGATTTAATGTTGATTTATTAAACCTACAAAATGCACATTACTTGACATTAATTCCTAGTTTAAATCCTCCCCGTCGCGCCCCACATATACATAAACGACACATTGTTTTTGTTTGTTCCCCGTACCCTGGCGGTGACAGCGGAACTAACGATTCCTACCGTGGAAGAAGCTACATAACCATATATAGGTATATGTAGCTCCTTGCTCACGTGATGCCCGCATACCATCTAGAAATGTACAAGCACTGTTTTCCGTGTCCATGATCTCGCCTCCATATTGAATTCAGCTGCGAAGTATTATGAAATCTTGTGTTCAAATGTAATTTCAACGCGTCCGCTGGATACTGCCAGACACACCTTCGCCAAGGTAGGAAATCGCTAAACATTTTCTTAGGATTACGAAGAAGTGATACAACTACCGTAGAACGTTGAAAATACGGTTAAAGTAACCAATTTTGTTTCAGCGCGTTCAATCGCAACTCTCCCGCATTGCACACAGCTATTAGGTATTGTCGGCCGCTGTTCATTTCAAATCGTTGTATGCAAACTCTTCTGGCTTCTCTTCGATTAGAATTTACATCACGTTGAGGTTCAATGTACAGGCTTCACGACGTAGTTTCTATTTTTATGAAATTAAAAATATAAATGCGTGCGGTAACGCGACGAAGATCGGAGCCGCATTGCTAACCTTAAAATGCCTCTAACTATACAGCAATGTAAACACACATAACGGTATACTTCACCGTAGATATACATGCGCAGTTAAAATCACGATCACTAGTTCTATCGAAGGCAATTGGACGAGGAGAAAAACTGACGTTAACCAGCGATGAACGGTGTTAGATGTAGCCTAGAACTATAGCCCTTCGCTCTGCCAAGGCTACTGTGGCAGAGCAAAAAGTTATAGTTCTAGAGCTAGAGGTGGTGAGGTAGCTTAGATGGTGCTAATTGACTAGATGGTAAGAAGAAGAACTCCTTGACTGAACTGACTGACTTGACTGAACTCATTGAACTGCATGCGATTTTACCCTATATGTTATCTCAGTCTTCGCAGAGTTTCTCCATATGTGTGCCACTATGTGTGACCCATGGCTTAACTATACGTCTGCATTAATCACATTTAGTTTGTAATTTGCGCGTGTGAAGTGTATAATGTATCAGCGAAGCACGAAGAAAGCGAATAATTGAAAGGAAAAAACATTTACATTGTTTCCATTAATGATTGTCATGTTATCGGCAAGGCTCGCAACTTTTCCGGCCAGCGTAATGTGGAGATTCAGGAGAGGAAACGTAGACTACTAAAGGCCACCGCACACCAGACGATTTTACAAACGATGAAACGATGAAAACGATGAAACGATGAAACGATGGTGTGCGGGGGCCTGAATATGCGGCTGAGAAAAAAATATCAATGCGTCCAAGCGAACAATCCAAGCGAACAATGCGAATTGAGTGTGAAAATTTACACAGCCACTCGCACACGCTGTTCAATCTTCCAAGGTCACGCGCACACCACAAAATCGCGTCCAAATAATCGTTTCCAAAATCAAACATGTTTGATTTGGAATTATCGTCGATAAAAATAAAATCGTCTACAATGACCCGCACACCTACATCGTTTCATCGTTTCATCGTTTCATCGTTTCATCGTTTCATCGTCTGGTGTGGCGGTGGGCTTAAAACACCACTACAGGCAGGACGGCGCCAGGGTATTTTCTTAGGGGGGGGGGCAAAACCAGGGCGTGTACAGGAGCACGCGAAGGGGTGGTCGGGGGGGCTCTCCCCCAGGAAATTTTGAAATTAGACCCCTCAGATGCGTTTTCTGCGCGAGCAGGGGGGGTCCCGGACCCCCCTGGACCCCCCCTTTTCTTGCAAATGATGGGGGTGACCCCCCACCCCACCCATCATTTGCCAATACATTTGCAAGATGTTTCTTTTCTTTTTCTATTTCTTCTTTCCTTTTTCTTTTTCTTTTTCTTTACTTTTTTCTTTTCTTTTTTCTTTTCTTTTCTTTTTCTTCTTCTCTTACCTTTTTCTGCATTGATAGGGGGGGCGACCGCCCCCCCTTGCCCCCCCTGTGGCGCCGCCCTGACTACATGAATAGCTACGGGTTAACGATTTCACAGCAATTTCGACTGCGATTCTAGAATCGCTGTCGAGTTGCATGAAAAAGTGCCAGCTAGGTCTGCGCTATAAGCTTAACTGAACTTGGAAAAGGGGAATCTTGGGAACTTGGGAAAAGAAAAGGAAAAGGGAAAAGGGAAAAGGGAAAAGGGAAAGGGAACACACACACACACAACACACACACGCACGCACGCACGCACGCACGCCAAGCACGCACACACACACACACACACCACGCACGCACGCACGCACGCACCCACGCACGCACACACACAACACACACACACACACAACACACACACGCACGACGCGCACGCACGCACGCACGCACGCGCACAGACAACACAACACACACACACAGCCACACCACACACACCACAACACACGACACACACACACACACTACGCACACACACACACACACACACAGGACACACAATATATTATATGTAAATGTATATATAGTATAACAGTTCATTAGAACTGCGTCCTATCGAGCCTGGTTCCTATTCGCACCTGTTATATTGTTTCTTGTTAAGGCTTCATCTTGTTGATATTATTACGTATATTAATTAATATAATATAATATATTATTGCGTAAAGTCGCATACGCCATTGTGCGTTATTACAGTTATACGCCCCGAGCAATCTGTCTATATGAGCGCTGTAAACAGTAAGGCTCCGCGATTGTTCACCGTTGCACTATTTCTCGTATAGAAAAGAGCAGTTTTCTCGAATTTTTCGTGGCAAAATTCGTCATTAGAGTGCGTAAATGTGCATTGCACAATGGAGACGGATGCCCGATAGACCGTTTGGAAAGGATTGAAATTTCAATCGTGTTTGTGAAAAATGTGGCAAATGCGTGGGTGTCGTAGCCATGGTGACCGGCAGCCGCGTTTGAGAGTTGAGGGGTACCCGACAACATGGTGGAATTTCGCATCATAGAGCTGGCAAAAGTTTCGAGTGAAGAGTGTACGGTTAATATGAAGTGATTTGGCATGAATAAAATGCATGCTGCGTGTTTATAGTAACTGTTACGTATTTGTAATTATTTTCTGTGTGCTGCTTATTCAGGCCTACTGCCTATGGACGCCCTCTACTATTGGTAAACAACCTATATTCGATAACACGCGCGAGGCCGAGACGACTGCCGCACGATGGCGCCACGCTCGGCTGACTGCCACCGCTGCTGTCATCACCGCCGCTTCCTCCGCTACCGCCGCCGCGCAACGCGTCACAAGCGCAGTGCGTATGCCGCTCCCCGGCGCTCCTTCGCAGCGGCAGACGAGCAAAGTAAGAACGCACACGCGAAACACACACACAGGCGATATCCTGCACATCGGATATAGTCATCGTGGTGCTCGGCGCTCGCGCGCTGTGCAGACAGCAGCGATATGTAGCCAGGCGCGCACAGGCCGACTGATTGAAATACTTACCTGAGCCAGGTGAGGGCGTGTAGTGATGCGCACAGGGTGGTTGTTCCACCGCAATAACGGCAGAACTTTTCAATTCAACGCTGGTAGTGCCAGCACAGGTAATGCTTCCTCTTCCGCCTGTCTCCTTGTCCTTCCTGTCCTTTGCTGTTCCTCATATCCGCATGTCCTCTCCTCTGTCTTGTCATTCGCTTCGTGTCTCCACGTCCCAACCCCATGGCACCGTTTTTTCAATTCCCGTTCACACCTGTTAATTTGCGGTACTTAATCAGGGTGAAATTACGCTCCTGTTAATTACTGCACCACGTCCTGTGCCGCTCCTCTCTCCCTCGTTCATCCCTGCCCCCGTATAGTCGTTAGGATTAAACTATAATGCAGTTGCTGAAAAGGTGTGATGTAGGCACACTCAAATCTTCGCTGTATTATACCAATATGAGTCGTCTGCGAATCGAATACACTAAGGCGGGCCAACTTCCGAGTACATTCAGGATACATGTGTTACACCTGATCATATGACTGAACTCGACTATTGAGTTTGCTCTCATGTGGAGTGGACAGACTGCGAGGTAGGCAGTGAGGGAGGAGAGACTGAAGAGGCAGGCAGTGAGGGAGGAGAAGACTGAGAGCAGGCAGTGAGGAGGACGGACTAAAGAGGTAGGCAGTGAGGGAGGAGAGACTGAAGAGGCAGGCAGTGAGGGAGGACGGACTAAAGAGGTAGGCAGTGAGGGAAGAGAGACTGGAGATGCAGGCAGTGAGGGAGACGGAACTAAAGAGGTAGGCAGTGAGGGATGACAGACTGGAGAGGTAGGTAGTGAGGGATGACAGACTGGAGAAGCAGGCAGTGAGGGAGGAGAGACTGGAGAGGTAGGCAGTGAGGGAGGAGAGACTGGAGAGGCAGGCAGTGAGGGATGTCAGACTGGAGAGGCAGGCAGTGAGGGATGTCAGACTGGAGATGCAGGCAGTGAGGGATGTCAGACTGGAGAGGTAGGCAGTGAGGGATGTCAGACTGGAGAGGCAGGCAGTGAGGGATGTCAGACTGGAGAGGTAGGCAGTGAGGGAGGAGAGACTGGAGAGGCAGGCAGTGAGGGAGGACAGACTGGAGAGGTAGGCAGTGAGAAAAGACTGATCTACGATCCGGGCAGCAGGAAACCGACAAATAATGCCTGGGAAACTAGTCCTGCCATGGTGCACACTGCATGTCGCTGCAGCGTTAGCACGCTCGCGCTAGCTGCGCAGAGATACGTAGTGTTTCATTCACCCATGGTCGACTGCTCTTGCGTTGAAGGTGGGCAGTCGGCCAGCTGCTACAATGATCGACTGAAAAGAGTGAAGAAAACCCACCGACACGAATATTCACCTAAGGGCGATGCTTTGTCGTGGCGAGTTGCACAGGCAGAGCCCAGTCCGAGGCCATCACACGCAGTGCGTGCGTGCGTGCGTGCGTGCGTGCGTGCGTGCGTGCGTGCGTGCGTGCCCGAGTGTGAGTGTGTATGTTTGGGGGTGTGTGGGTGTCAGCGTGTGTGTGTGTGCGTGCGTGTGCGTGCGCGCGTGTGTGTATGTGTGCGTGTGTGTGCGTGCGTGTGTGTGCGTGTGTGTGTGCGTGTGTGTATGTATGGGTGTGTGTGCGTGTGTGTATGTACAAGTGTGCGTGTGTGTATGTACAAGTGTGCGTGTGTGTATGTACAAGTGTGCGTGTGTGTGTGTGCGCGCGCGTGTGCGTGTGCGTGCACGTGTGCGTGTGCGTGTGTGTGGGTGTGTGTGCGCGCGTGTGCGTGCGCGTGTGTGTGCGCGTGTGCGTGCACGTGTGTGTGCGCGTGTGCGTGCGTGTGTGTGTGCGCGCGTGTGTGCGCGCGTGTGTGCGCGCGTGTGTGTGCGTGTGCGTGTGTGTGTGCGCGCGTGTATGCGTGCGCGTGTGTGTGCTTGCGTGTGCGTGTGTGTGCGTGTGTGTGTGCTCGGGCGTGTGTGCGTGCGCGTGTGCGTGTGCGTGCGCGCGTACGTGTGCGTGTGTGTTCGCGTGCGTCTGTGTATGCGCGTACGTGTGCGTGTGCGCGTGTGCGTGTTTCTGCGTGTGTTTGTGCGTGTGCGTGTGTGTTTTCGTAAGCATGCGTCTATCTGCAGCGATATTTCGTTCAATACAGTCAGTCTACGTTTTATTAAGCTGAAGCACGTAACGTGAAATATAACAGCTTATTAACTGCTTCCTTGATTTCTATACGTTTGACTGCGCATCTAGTAATGCAAAGTAATGTCATGTAAGCGCGTTTATTGAACGAACTGACGTTGTTAAATATACCACACAGCTGTAAAAAATTATCGAAAGGAAAACAGTCTAATAAACACAGGCGTGCGAAAACTGACGTTTGGACTCTTAATAGGGTGATATAGTAAAATCTTAATCAAATCGTTTCAATTCCAATATAGTCCAACGCAAATGAAAACGAGCCGCCAGTTTCTTTGTTACACCGTGAATGTGTCTGTCCAATATTGTCCCCGTCGTTGCCAATAAACTACGTTAATGGTTACCGCAAATATTATGGTAAATATGATAGTAATATGATGGTAAATATGATGGTATATGGTTACCCAATGTTGAAAACTATTTTCGTTTCGATTAACATTGAAAATTATGTCCCTGTAAAAGTAGGAGCTCGCGCGCATTGCTTTGGTCTCGAGTAGTACACGCGCACATAAGAATAAATATTACGCATCGTACGTACTAACCTTTAACAGCTCGATCAAAATATCCTCTATTAAAAATGCACCTTGCACATATAGGGCTATTAGATTCCTTCCTTTTAATAAAGCAGAGTATACGATTCCCTCTAACCAGCAGGTGGTGAACCGTGCTACGTAATTTATACATACCGACGCACGGGAAAAAACCCTTTCAACGCTTCTGAAGCCGCACGGGAATTACCTTATGACATGCAGACGGATATTGCTTTTGGATCTGCTTCTACTAATTCTGCTGCTGCTGCTGCTCTTACCCTCTTACGCAGGTGTGCCATGGGGTGCGCCCCAAGTCTTCATGTGTCACAGACAGGCATCATCTACTGTCGTGATTCGGACGAGAGTAACTCGCACTCACCCGGCCACTCGTCGAACGTGTCCGTGTCGGCGTCGCAGCAGCAGCCGCAGCAGCAGCAGCAGACGACTGTCGTGTTTCCCAAAACCGAAGTGACGACGACGAGCGACGCGAACGCCACCTCGATACAACTGACGCAGCATATTCGCTTCACGAACCGACGCGGTACGATCGAAGCAGAGACACAAACCAGCCAACTATTAATGAAGGTAGGTGTCTAGCAAGGTAGCTTCTCATCGTAACGATTATGTATGTGTGTGCGTGCGTGTGTGTGCGTGTGTGCGCGCGTGTGAATGCTTTGTGATAGTGAGCGTGTGTAGTATTCAAGTTCAGACAGACGAACGGACGGACGGACGGACAGAAAGACAGACAGCCATAGCGTGTAAAAAGCGTGTGTGAGAGAAAGAGAAAGAGACAGGAAGAGAGAAGACAGGAATGGACAGGAGCCTCACACACTAGCCTATCAATTATCACACGCAACCCCGCCATATTGCTCTCGTGCGGGGGGGGGGAGTGTCAACGGCGTGCCTGGCATGCTCCATCCTTATTTTTGTTCGCCACGCATCGTGCTCGCTTCACAGCCACAGCTAACGCACGTTTTCACATCGAGCCGCTGTTGCTATGACGACTACGTGCGGAGCGGCGGGAGCGCGTGCGGATAACAAGAAACCTCACTGCATTTTTTCGAGGAAAGATGAAATGTTCGTTACACGACGCTGTAGACGATTGCCTCATGAAATCTGTTTTCGTGAGGGTAGTTGTAGTAGACATTATAACTCCAGAGTTTTAGATTGAATTGTTGCACAGGTAACGTGAGTGTGTTGTGTCGACTATCATGCTATGGTAATATTTTATACTTGCTGTGCATACTAAAGTAGAATGATCGCAGAGAGTTTAATTCCTGTGCCAATGCTGACAAAATACCTCATGTCGAGAGTAATTAAATATCATCTCGTATAGCAAATACTCATTACTACTGTAGAAGTAATTAAGAAGTAATTAGAAGTAATCAGTATGCCCCCTGCCTGCATATTAATACCTCAATACTATTACCGTTAAGGTATGTACGTACAAGTATATGCGTACGTGATGTACGTTAAAGTATGCACTCTTTCGCTTCCCAGCAATACCTATATATTATTGAGCAGGTATATATATATTATAAATAGTAGGTATCGCGCGCGCGCACATAATGATAATGAGATATGAATCTCTGAAAAAACGTTTTAGAAACTGATTTAACGTTGATTTATTAAACCTACAAAATGCACATTACTTGACATTAATTCCGAGTTTAAATCCTCCCCGTCCGCCCCACATATACATAAACGACACATTGTTTTTGTTTGGTTCCCCGTACCCTGGCGGAGACAGCGGGAACTAACGATTCCTCACGTGGAAGGAGCTACATAACCATATATAGGTATATGTAGCTCCTTGCTCACGTGATGCCCGCATTCCATCTAGAAATGTACAAGCACTGTTTTCGTCCATGATCTCGCCTCCATATTGAATTCAGCTGCGAAGTATTATGAAATCTTGTGTTCAAATGTAATTTCAACGCGTCCGCTGGATACTGCCAGACACACCTTCGCCAAGGTAGGAAATCGCTAAAACATTTTCTTAGGATTACGAAGAAGTGATACGACTACCGTAGAACGTTGAAATACGGTCAAAGTAACCAATTTTGTTTCAGCGAGTTCAATCGCAACTCTCCCGCATTGCACACAGCTATTAGGTATTGTCGGCCGCTGTTCATTTCAAATCGTTGTATGCAAACTCTTCTGGCTTCTTTTCGATTAGAATTTACATCACGTTGAGGTTCAATGTACAGGCTTCACGACGTAGTTTCTATTTTTATGAAATTAAAAATATAAATGCGTGCGGTAACGCGACGAAGATCGGAGCCGCATTGCTAACTTAAAATGCCTCTAACTATACAGCAATGTAAACACACATACACGGTATACTATCCCGTAGATATACATGCGCAGTTAAAATCACGATCACTAGTTCTATCGGAAGGCAATTGGACGAGGAGAAAAACTGACGTTAACCAGCGATGAACGGTGTTAGATGTAGCTCTAGAACTATAGCCCTTCGCTCTGCCAAGGCTACTGTGGCAGAGCAAAAAGTTATAGTTCTAGAGCTAGAGGTGGTGAGGTAGCTTAGATGGTGCTAATTGACTAGATGGTAAGAAGAAGAACTCCTTGACTGAACTGACTGACTTGACTGAACTCATTGAACTGCATGCGATTTTACCCTATATGTTATCTCAGTCTTCGCAGAGTTTCTCCATATGTGTGGCACTATGTGTGACCCATGGCTTAACTATACGTCTGCATTAATCACATTTAGTTTGTAATTTGCGCGTGTGAAGTGTATAATGTATCAGCGAAGCACGAAGAGAGCGAATAATTGAAAGGAAAAAACATTTACATTGTTTCCATTAATGATTGTCATGTTATCGGCAAGGCTCGCAACTTTTCCGGCCAGCGTAATGTGGAGATTTCAGGAGAGGAAACGTAGACTACTAAAACCACACTACATGCAGGGACGGCGCCAGGGTATTTTCTTAGGGGGTGCTTTTAATGAGTCAGTGCCTGATCGATGATCGATCAATGCTTTAATGAGTCAGTGCCTGCTCGATGATCGATCAATGCTTTAATGAGTCAGTGCCTGATCGATGATCGATCAATGCTATATTGGGTGCGTGTGGGATTACTGCGCGGCTGGTAATCACGATACTCATGGTACAATGGCTCTATATACGAGAACATAGTGTGTTTAATAGAGGTGCCAGTAGATATACCACTGTGTTCATTGCGATACAAACTCAGCTTATAACTCATCGACGTTTCCAGTTTCATTAATCCGATTTAAATTATTATAGCGTTAAATATTAAATATTAAAGCGTTAGATAATAGAAATCGTATAGGTAACAGTCGCCCGTATAGTCGGTTGATTTCGAACGCGATTTGGCATGTTCTGATATTATGTTCATATTTTGACGGTCGCCTCTTGCTGCCGATGCGAAATGCGTGTACTAACTTAGCTTCTAACATCTCTCTCTCTCTCTCTCTCTCTCTCTCTCTCTCTCTCTCTCTCTCTCTCTCTCTCTCTCTCTCTAATAGTAATAATAATATTTTTTTAATATATAATATTATATAATATAATGATGAATCAATGATGAGATATTAATACATTAATAATTATTTATTATTATGTATATCAATCATCATCATCAATCATCATCATCATCATCATCTCATCATTCATTCTCGATCCTCATTATTCGGATCAGTATCCATTCAACAGACTTGGCTGCTCGTATACCATTTCGACACCGGTCGTGTTTTGCATCGGTCTCGCGGCAGATCTGCGTCCGCATTGCGAGATGAAAGACAACGCAAAGCGGCTGCTATAGGGATCGTTGCTAGCGGAATCACAGGCGGACATTCCCACCGGAACCGTACTGCGTAGGAGCGTGGGCATGCCGTACGCGCCGGCAGCGCCACCCGCGACGCGCGCCCCAACCTTGACCGCGACATTTCCCGCTACAGACTCCTCCACGCGCACGCACGCGCCCTAGCAGCACGCCGCGCTGCTTTCTCGTTGGCCGGTGGCGCCACTACGATGTTTGTCGAGCAAGTCGGTCGAGGCGCAACGCTTCGATGCGCCCCAAGCTTCTCGCGGCGTGCTGACTAGCGTTAATTTATACAGCACCGTCGCAATGTGTTTCGTCGCACGCGGCAGTTTGTCATGAACCCCCCACACACTCTCTCTCTCTCTCTCTCTCTCTCTCTCTCTCTCTCTCTGCTCTCTCTCTCTCTACTCTCTCTCTCTCTCTACTCTATCTATCTCTCTCTCTTCTATCTGTCTCTCTCTCTCTCGCCCCCCTCTCTCTCTCTTCGCCTCCTCTATCTCTCTCCTGTCTCCCGCCCCCCCCCTCTATCTCTCTCTCTCTCTCTCTCTCTCTTTTCTCTTTTCTCTTCTTCTCACTCAACTCACTCCCTCTCTCTCTCTCTCTCTCTCTCCTTCTCTCTCTCTCTCTCTCCTTTCTTTCTCTCTCTCCTCTCTCTCTCTCTCTCTCTCTCTCTCTCTCTCTCTCTCCTCACTCATCTCCGATCCCTCTGCCGTGAACGTTGCGCCGATACTTCCCACCTGGCGGGGGAGTGTCGAGCACAATACACGCCAACATTTCGTATTGTGACAAGGCACGCATCGTACACCGAGCGCCCTCTCTCTAACGCGCACAACAGCTGTGAGATATATGAGACGATACCATAGGCCTGTGACGTATTGCACAGACGTGTCTATGACGTAGTCATCAGAAGGTAGCGTACGTGCGAATCGGTAGCCTTCCGCTACGGTTTTGGCTGACGTATAGCCGGCTTCTTCTCCAGTATCGTTGCAGTCGGAAGAGCAGACGAGGTGCTCTTAATTATAATAACGTGGCTATAGTATCTATACTATCTATATATATTACTACCTGCCTACTTATTTACACTACGTACTTTTTATATCTATTTACTGACTCTAATATATAGGTATTGCTGGAAGGAAGAGTGCATACTTTAACGTTACATGCACGTACGCAATATATTGTATCGTAATTACCTACGGTACATAGTATTGAGGTATTAATATGCGGCAGGGGGCATACTGCATTTACTTCTTTATTCCTTAATTACTTCTACAGTGTATGCTATTTGCTTAGAGATGATATTTAATACTTTCGAATGAGGTATTTGTCAGATTGGAACGGCTTTAAACTCTCTGCGATTCATTCTCTTTAGTTATGACAGCAAGTATAATATTTCATAGCTGCATGTCGACCAACACACTCACGTTACCTGTGCACACACTTCAATCTATATTTGGAGTTATATGTCTACTCAACTACCCTCACGAAACAGATTTCATGAGGCATTCGTCTACAGCGTCGATTGTACGAACATTCCTCATTTTCCTCGAAAAATGCAGTGGGTTTCTTGTTTAGTCCGCACGCGCTCCGCTCGCTCGCCGTAGTCGTCTAGGCAACGCGGGCTCGATGTGAACGTGCGTTAGCTGTGGCTGTGAGGGCCCACCGATGCCGTGTAGGGTAAAAATGGATTGGAGCATGCCAGTGCCGCCGTTGACATCCCCCCCCCGCCGAGAGCATTTGGCTGGGTTTGCGCCTGTGATTAATTGATGGCTAGTGTTGAG